CATACCCAGCTGAATTATAAATGCTGAGCAATACTGGAATAGAAGCTGCTCTTCTAGTAAGAGGACCATAATGTATTAATAACCCTGACTAGAAACAGAAGCAGTTCACTGTCTGCGAGCAGCGTCTATTGTTAATGTTAAAGCAACTTGCATTTATGAGACACCTGCAAAATCTCAACTAGTTTAAATAAAGATGAACAATTATAATTCTGGACCAAACATTTGTTCACCCTGAATTCCTATTGCCCATCTGAAGCAGGGCTCTGAAAGGGCATCATAGGATATGCCAAGATCACTCAAACATAACCTGCAGTGCTTTAGGATTTCATCTTCTACAGGGAGTACTGATACCTGATTTCCATTGTTTCTGCAGCTTATCTTGCATCTTTGGATTTCTGTTTTCTTGATAGCAGACTCCCATCAATCTTTGACAGAAAGAATAAATTGGTTCCTTACCTCCTGAGACTGATAGAATAAAATGAGTTTTAGTGTAGTCTTATGCTTACTCCGGATACATTATCACTCCTTGTGCTTTCAAGAAGATGGCAGGATGTAAATCATCTTTTCCTTCTTTATAAGGAAACTGTTCTACAAAATGTTGGAATATGCATGTTAAAACAAAATCAGAAAAAGCAACAGCTGTGTTGGGGCTGGGCATCCCAGCTTGGGCAGAGCATCTAGACCAGTGTTTCCCAACCGGTGTTCCGCGGCACACTAGTGTGCCGCGAGACGTTGCCTGGTGTGCCGTGGGAGGGAGGCGGGCGAGTCGGGCGGCGAGAGGCGGGGCGGCGGCGGCGAGGATCCGCGTCGAGCCGGGGGCGGCTCCGCGGTGGTGGTGCCGAGGTTTCTCTCTCCATTCTCCCCTCACACACACACACAGGAAATAACACAGGATCAGCTGACAGGACCCGGCCAATGGGGCGGCGGCGGGGCAGCGCGCGCAAAAGGGAGGAGCGCGAGACAGCGGACGAGGAGGAGGCCGGCATGTCCGGGCAGCAGCAGCAACAACAGCAGCAGCAACTCCCGGCGACGGCTCCTCAAGCCCCGGGCAACCCTACTCCCTCACCGGCCTCGGCCGCCCTCCTGCTCCACCCGCCGCCGCCTCCCCCGCCGCCGCCGGCCACCTCGGCCCCGCTACCACCCCCTCCTCCGCCCGCTATCGCCGCCACCACCACAACAGCCGCCGCCGCCTCAGCTGGGCCCATGCCTGCTGGGAGCGGCGGCGGCAGCAGCGCCCCGGCGCCCTTCCCTCCCGGCGTGACGCTGCGCGCTGACGTCACGGGGCTGTAATGGTGGTGTGCCTCAAGATTTTTTTCATCAAACAAGTGTGCCTTTGCCAAAAAAAGGTTGGGAAACACTGATCTAGACAAAAGGAAAGATCTGGAACATTTTGTTTCATAGGGTTCTCTTAGGGCATTGCTAAGGAACACAACAGATTCTAGCAGAAGTTGTAACCATCCATTGTGAAGATGGAATATTTATTTACTTCACTTAGATGTATAGCGGGACACGGGTGGTGCTGTGGTCTAAACCACAAAGCCTAGGACTTGCCGATCAGAAGGTTGGCGGTTCAAATCCCCGCGACGGGGTGAGCTCCCGTTGCTCGGTCCCTGCTCCTGCCAACCTAGCAGTTCAAAAGCACGTCAAAGTACAAGCAGATAAATAGGTACCACTCCAGCGGGAAGGTAAACGGTGTTTCCGTGCGCTGCTCTGGTTCGCCAGAAGTAGCTTAGTCATGCTGGCCACATGACCCGGAAGCGAGATGAGCACTGCAACCCAAGAGTTGGCCACGACTGGACCTAATGGTCAGGGATCCCTTTACCTTTAGATGTATAGCATTTGTCTTGTTACTAAAGCTTGGAATGGGAAACAGCTCTCTCATACCTGATTTATTCTTCAAAGCTCCATTACTTTGGTGCTAAGTCTATGGCATCTCCTTGGAGCCAAAAATGACAGTGTGTCACTAGGAGAATTTTCACTGTGACCACAGTGCACAGGCAGGTGGAATCCTTCCTTCCTCATCCACAATCCCAGTGGAAATCTCCTCTCTCTCCACACACACACACACACACACTCACTCACTCCACACATGAGTGTTAACCTTAAATAAATTATCCCCTTTGCATCACTGGGAGTTTCCCCCCTGAGATTAATAGCAGAGTGGGTGGGGGCAGCCAAGTGTTACATAACACCAGACTCGTCTGACAGACGTTTACTGCTCAGCTGCAGATAACTGATTTATTGGACTATCTCCTCCTACTGAAGAAATGTTCAGTTGTGTGAACTGAATGATGATTTGCTTCCTCTCATTGCATATAAGCTGAAGCAAATGGCCCAAGTTTAGTGAATATTGACATTTTTACATGTGAATATTGCCACCCTCAGACAAGTTATATTTCATACATACACTGGTGAATTCTTGCATAATTCATTTCTGCATATCCAAAAAGTGGGGAAATCTGTATCTGTTTTGCAGGTGTATGTAGCATTCGTTTAGGACTCTCAAAATACACATGTCAACCGTTGCTGCCTTCTTGCATTTTGCTATCTATTGTTCATTTTTGAATCATTTTGATTATCTTAAACATTTGTTTATGTCCCCTTTCTTCATCTATACCCTTAATCTCCCCCTTTTTAAAAAAACTCAGAAAGGTTTGTGACCTTGCTTTAATTTTTAGTAGAGCAATAGTCTGTTCTTCAAGAACAGTGTAACTTGTTTGCAGAAGGAATTTGTTATTTTAGGTGTGCATAATGTGATAGTCAGCACTGACTTCTGTATACCCAGAAGGCTGGATAGAGCAAACCTCTTTCTACCAATTGCTATATTCCATGTCACCCTCGTCATCATTTTTCCAAACACCAAAAAGGCAGGAATGGGGTTGTTTGGTTGGGCAGGGGAGGAGACAGTTTTGCTTGTGTGTCTGCTAAATGATTTGTAACAGTTGAGCTAGTGCGCTCCTCCTGCTGGTTGCATAGGATACAATAGTCTTGTTGCTGTGACAACGCTGCTGATCCCCTTAACTGGCTTAATCCCAGGGAGCTGAGTAGTGGAAGGGAGTTGCTACAGGGCTGGACAATTATCCTGTGCTTGGAGGGTTTGTCAGCCTGATTCAAAGCACATTTAAAGCACGTGGCTTCCCCTGAAGAATCCTGTAAACTGTACTCTGCCTCTCACAGAGTTTATAGCTCCCAGGATTTCAGGGGGAGGAAACGTGTTTTAAATGCACCATGTGTCAAGCAATAGTCAAGATGTTTGGCATATCTTCATTTGCAGTGCTATTTTTCTAGAAAAAGAGGTTCCAGAAGTCACCATGAGCTCCCACATACTCTTAGAATGGTAATGGTACCCACCAGAGAGGGACTGGAACTGAGTTCCGGCGAGTTCTGGCTGGAAAAAGGCCCTGCTTATTTGTCCTGCAATGAAAGAAGAAAATACATCTGATTTAAAAAAATTACATGGCCTGCTAGTGCCATGAAATTATTAAAGCAGACTCATTCTTCAGATTATATACAGTGGTACCTCGGGTTAAGAATTTAATTCATTCCGGAGGTCCGTTCTTAAACTGAAACTGTTCTTAACCTGAAGCACCACTTTAGCTAATGGGGCCTCCTGCTGCTGCTGCGCCGCCGGAGCATGATTTCTGTTCTCATCCTGAAGCAAAGTTCTTAACCTGAAGCACTATTTCTGGGTTAGCGGAGTCTGTAACCTGAAGCGTATGTAACCTGAAGCGTATGTAACCCGAGGTACCACTGTATGTGTGTGTGTGTGTGTGTGTGTGTGTGTATTCATACGTCACGATTTCCTAATCTTTCCTTTATTGGGATAACGGCTGTCGAGAGCCCACCACAATGTGAATGTGTTCTTCTTGGGAGATGTAGCGTCTGGGGAAGTGAGAACAAAGAATAAGAGGCCTGGCCTGGACTTAGTTACAGAACTCGGCAAAAGGTTTTGGTTCCTTGCACACACACACACACACACTGGATTTAAAAGGGACGGGCAATTACCCCAAACTGGGTAGAGAGATCTGTCCTCCACTGACCCCTCCCACAGATATTAGGTGATTCCCTCATCCCACTGCAGCCCCCAGCCCTTGATATTTCCTAGTATGGCAGTATAGAAATACTTTTGTTAAAAAATGTATATTTTTATGCATAAATAAATAAATAATATTTTTAAAACAGACAATTCTTAAGATGCTGAATTTAGTAGTTATAAAAGCATCGGAGTATCGTGGCACCTTCAAGATGAACACATTGAATGCACATTGTATTCAAGTTTTAAAATAAATGATTTATCATTGTTTTTGCTAAATGGTGCTAAACAGTGTCACCACATATGAATGAAGGAACAGTGGTAGTGAATTATCTCACCACTGCCAAAAACTCATGTAAGTGAAGTTCACATTTCTACAGCAGTTAGGTCAGCCATTAGTAGCTTTCCCAACTTCTTGCTCTCAACAACTGCCAAAGTAAAACGAATCATGAGTTTTTCACACTACTATATAATAGGTTCCATTTAGAATTTTCCTTTCTGTTTTGAAGCTTCAAGACTTTTCTATTTCTGTTAAATATTTATTACTGCTGTGTAATGTCTCCATTTCTTGATGAATTATTGGACCTTGGGATTCTGATTTGCATTAATGCTAGGCAGTGAACACAATACCTATAAGGCACATTCAAAGCACATTCTTTCCCTCAAAGAATTCTGGGCACTGTAGTTTGCCCCTTACATAGTTATAATTCCCAGCAACCCTTAACAAACAACAGAATTCTTTGAAGGGGAAAATTTGCTCTGAATGTATAACCTGTAGGCGGCCAGTTGGGTTTGCCCACAGTATCTCTGTATTTCAGATTCTTCAGGGCTGAATATAGACAGACAGACAGACAGACAGACAGACAGACAGACAGACAGACAGACCTGGTGGTATTGTGTTCATTTAAGTGCCACATTTAAAATATTAAAAATGTCTAATGAAAAACAATCTATTCTTGCATTCCAGATTACAGTGTTTCGCATGGGATCAGAAGGACACCAAGATATTGACCTGGCCATCTTGACAGCTTTGCTAAAAGGTAATACAGTGGTACCTCGGGTTAAGAACTTAATTCGTTCTGGAGGTCTGTTCTTAACCTGAAACTGTTCTTAACCTGAAGCACCACTTTAGCTAATGGGGCTTCCTGCTGCCGCTGCATGATTTCTGTTCTCACCCTGAAGCAAAGTTCTTAATCTGAGGTACTATTTCTGGGTTAGCAGAGTCTGTAACCTGAAGCGTATGTAACCCGAGGTACCACTGTAGTGTTTTCTGCACAGAAAGTCCTTGACAAATTTACACACATTTCATCAGTCCTGCATTGTATGATGCCTAAGTAGCAAACTTTTAGTATCCCAAGGTATGGTCTGAAGGTGTAAAAGGTTGCTAAAACTAAGCAGGTTTGGGACTGGTCAGTGTCTGGATGGGTGCCTGCCTGAGAACCAAGTGGGCAATGCCTTCCATGTACACTTGGTTCCATTATGGGGGAAAGATAGGATACGGGTAAAAGGTAAAGGACCCCTGGATATTTAAGTTCAGTCAAAGGCAACTATGGGTTGTGGCGCTTATCTCGCTTTCAGGCCAAGGGAGCCGCCGTTTGTCCACAGACAGCTTTCCGGGTCATGTGGCCAGCATGACTAAACTGCTTCTGGCGCAACAGAAGCCAGAGTGCACGGAAACGCCATTTACCTTTCTGCCACAGCAGTACCTATTTATCTACTTGCACTGGTGTGCTTTCAAACTGCTAGGTTTGATATTGATATTGTGATATTGTGAGAGCCAGTGTGGTGTAGTGGTTAAGAGCGGTAGTCTCGTAATCTGGGGAAGCGGGTTCGCGTCTCCGCTCCTCCACATGCAGCTGCTGGGTGACCTTGGGCCAGTCACACTTCTCTGAAGTCTCTCAGCCCCACTCACCTCACAGAGTGTTTGTTGTGGGGGAGGAAGGGAAAGGAGAATGTCAGCCGCTTTGAGACTCCTTTGGGTAGTGATAAAGCGGGATATCAAATCCAAACTCTTCTTCTACTCTACTTCTTCTTCTAGGTTGGCAGGAGCTAGGACAGAGCGAAGGGTGCTCACCCTGTCACGGGGATTCAAACTTCTAATCAGCAAGACCAAGAGGCTCAGTGGTTTAGACCACAGCGCCAATCACAACAAATATTTTTACCCTTGAAAAGCAGAGACAGCTCAGATCAGATTAATTTTCATTATGTTATCATCATGAGAGCATATGATTGATATTATTGTGAATCAGGAAGTTCTGTTATGCAAAGCATCTCTCCTGGTGGATAACAATGTGGCCAATATGCAGCCAAATATTATATGGCTCCAAAGCAAACACAAAGGCAGTACCAGATTCAAAGTCACATAAATCCAGAGCTAGCTGTTCAAGAGATCCAGAATGTGAGTCAGACCCACTGACAGACTGATGCTGCCAATCTGGTACTTCCTGAATGCTTGCTTCTGAACCATTGTATAATATTTACTCAAACTGCATTTTAGTGATATTATTACTGCAAAACAGATGCTCTGTTGGGCAAGAGGTAGTAAGTGAAACTCTGTAGTCCCTTCTGCAGTTTCAAGGGACCCATCAGTATGTGGAAAACAGCACTCACAGCATAGGGACCAACCACTTATCTAGCTGCTTGGGATGGTGGTCTTCGTTTCCCAAACCAGAAACAGAATCAACAAGAGAGTTTGTGCACCTTTTGGTTGTCTTTTATTACAATAGGTAATAATTATTTATTTGACATGACAGATTGAAGCAATGTGATATGCAATATCTTTCACTCTACACATATACAGACTACTGTGTTGTTTCTGTTTCTGGGTGTATTTTTAAGCCAAAGGCTGTGAGTTTGGAGGAGAGGAGAGAGAGAGAGAGTTGCTGAGTCATTATTTGCTGACCATTTTTCAACAAAAAATCACTCTCCCAAGCTATTTTTTCACCTAGTAGACAATTCCCCCAGGTTTTATTTGTCGGGGGGGGGGGCGGACCCAATTCTACTATTTTATTTTTATTTCATAAACTTTATACACTGCTTGATTGAAAAAACAAACAAACCTCAGAGTGTTTTACAAAAAACTAGTCTTTAGCTAAAAATGACCAGAAGGGCCTTTTTCTCTCTCTTCATCCATTCTCTTCATGAACTCACAGCACACTAAGAAACTTTTTGTTAATAATAATAATCCTACAGAGCTCCCTTCAATGTGTGTTTTGAGACCCAGTGGTCCTCCATTTATAGCTCTCTTGTCATGTTAGGGTCTGGGAGGGTCCTCATCCCTGCTGAGTTATAAGAAGGGCTACCATCCTAGTAGAGGGTTGTTATTACTTTATTATTATTCCCCCAGTCTTTTCCCCCAGCATGATTTGCAAGGCTGCCCAAATCCTTACAGCGCCTGTCCTGTTAATATCTGGAGAGCAGCACGCTGGGTGATGCCTGTGTTTTTCCGTTGCTGCAGTCTAATCCGCAGTTGTGCTCACTGGAGCATATTGCTAAGCTTACCTGCGCCTGATGCATCCTCTGCATTCCTCCTCGCTTGTAATTGTGCCATGAATGATGCTCAGAAGGCTTCCATCCTGCAGCTGCTCCCATCCTCTTTGTGCAAGGGGCAAGGAGTGTCAACCATGAAATGGTTGTATGATTGCTTTTGAATCTAAAGTGCAAGACATTAGCATAGTATAGTATGTGGAACTGAGAGGTGGGCATTTTTACATTCTGTAAAAACCAGAACAGCACAGCACAGCAAAGCAGCCTGTCCCTCCCCCCCCCCCACATCATGGCACAGAAGCCAGAGCAAGGGGAGGTCGATCTGGAAGATCCTAACTAGTAAAATGGGCTCAGGTGGAGATGAATGTGGAGGAGTCTTGAGTATTAGCTTCCCTTCTTTACAAGTGGATACTGTGCATAGTGTTGTATTGTTGAGTCTTTGATAAAAAGGCAGAAAGCATTTGCCAAAGAATCAGGATTGCAATTATGCTTCTTACCTTATATCCTAAACAAAACTACTTTGGACCCTACATAGCTGGACAGAACTACTTTTTATTCCTTGCTTTTGCAGGAGAGGGATTTCCCTGCCATTGTATGCCTTCAATCAAATTGGATATGCTATTTAAAAAACAAACAAAAATGAATACTGTGGAATAAACCAGAGATTAGATTAAAATGCATCCATGGTGCCTGATGCTTAATGGAAACATGCAGCAGAAGCAGAAGCAGCAAAGATTGTGATTTGCTCTGTTGTAACAGTAGTATGATGTAAATCCACCCCAGAGGCACAGGGTAGAAAAAGCAGCTTTCTAGCACAGATAGACAAATGAAGGGGGTATCCTAGCAACAACACAGAAACCATGTGATGTTTTTAGAGCATTTTTTTTTTGCCTTGATAAGGTTTCATTCCTCTTGAAATCTAAAGGGAATGTAAAACAGAGAATCAAAGAGCTTCCTGCCAACAGAATTTCCAGATGATTGACTAATTTAAATATGAAGAGGGGGGAAATGTAGAGCTCATATCTGTGAAATTCTGTTATATCTGCTCTAATCATCAAATCATAAATTTGAGTAATACATAGGAGATCTATGCCCTAGTAGCACTTGTGAAATTTCTTGACCACCTCTTTAACAGTTCCTTCTTGCTTCAACAAACAGTTTCTGATTGAAACCTGCTGATGGCACTTTTATTTTACATAATATTTAGTTATTTGTGTTTTGTTTCTTTTGAATATATTTTATATTGCATATAAAATATGCAGTATAAAAGAACCAAGGTGGTGTTTACCACAAATCAAAACAATAAAAATGATAGCATCATAGAAAGAGTGAAAAAAATACATCAGAGTTCATCAGGAATCTCAGCTGAAGCATCCATGACAGACGGCCATCCAACCTCTGCTTAAAAACCTCCAAGGAGGGAGAGTCCATAACCTCCTAAGGGAGACTGTTCCACTGTTGAACAACTCTTACTGCCAATCTTCTTTCTTGTAACTTGAAGCCACGGGTTCAACTCCTACCCTCCAGAGCAGGAGAAAACCAGCTTCCACTATCTTACATTGACAGCCCTTGAGATATTAGAAGATGGCTATCATATCTCCTCTCAGTCTCCTCTTTTCCATGCTAAACTGATGGACAGTGTCTTGCAGTAAATAGAAAGACAACGCAGAGTCAAAAGTCCAAAAGTAAAAACTTTTACTAAAAGGCAAAGGCTTGTTATAAAAACTCAGACACACGAGGTACAAACGAAAGTAAGAAGGACAGAGCAGCTTGCTGACCGCAGGAATTTATCTTTCCTGGCTGAGCGTGACCTTGAGATAGTCAAAACAATATTTGCACCAGAAATGAGCCTTCTAGAATCTTCCAACACTTTCCAGTTTCTGCCCTCAAATACTTTAGTCATGACACTTCCCCAAAGGCTTTGAAGAGCAGAAACATAGACAGAAACCAATTTATTTACACACTTTATTGATAAGATTCAGTCTTGTAACTAACTCAACATGCTGCGCTGTAGAAAGCACGTTAGTAAAAAGATCTGACAAATTTTCTTGCAGTTGGCAATAGATCAGCTTAATAACTTTATGTTGTTTGTAATCCTTAACACTGAACAACTTGATAGCCACATGCTTTGTGTGTGTTGTATTGTTTCCTGAATTAGCAAGTGCAATACATGATTTCTTATCTTCATAGAATGCTACAGGCAGTTGCACTCCATACGCTAGGTCATTAAGAACTTGGATGTACCGTGTGATTTCGTTATATGCTTCAGATAACGCAGAAAATTCTGCCTCACATGTAGATGTGGCAACAAAACCTTGCTTTTTGGATTTCCAACCAATTAATGAACTTTTGAACATGACCACTAGACCACTTTTTGATTTTCTGGTTGATGGACAACTGGCAAAGTCACTGTCTACAAAAACCTGTAGATCACTAGAATTATACAGATGTATTCTCTTAATAGCAGCCCAATTATTTACATTAGGGCTACTGACCTTTCTGCTTAAAATACCTACACAATATCAGCTCTTGACCACTAGCTTAAGTACAGAAG